CTGTTGTTATGAATGTCATTGCACAGTGCTTCATATTGCTTAGTTAGTAGAGAAATAAATGAAGCAAAAATTTTAATTATGGTCAAAGAAATGGTAGTAATCTACACTAGCAACACAATTCGAGAAATATGGATGTCAGGAATAAGAGTTTCCCTCATTATGCTTCGTTTTTTTTTTTTTCTCTTTACAAACTTAGCATTTTCAACGACCAAGCAAAGCCATCAGTAGCGATTCGGGTCATCAGCAACGCTCTCTCATACGGCTTGGTCTTTTTCTTACAGCTTTCTAGTCGCACAACAATTAATAAAAAGAACGAAGAAAGAAGACAAAGAAAACAGCGCATATAAAGCGGTGTGGGCAAGGCCGAATTTTGATGAAAAGTATGGAAAATTTTCAAATGAAGGAACAAACTATCACTTTATCTAAAAATAATTGGGAGGCTTTTGTTAATGTAAAGAAAAAACGAAATTAGGGGAAATGTCATGACATAACCTCAAAATTTTCCTGTAATTGTGAAACGGGGATTTGTTCAATCCGCAGTAGTTTTGTTCTAAGTGTTTAGAGAATATCGAAATGACCCTAACTTAATTTATGAAAATAAGTAAACCGTGTATGTAGATATTCTTGACGATTTCGAGAAGAACATCTGAAGAAATCGATTTAGTATTTCAATCTGATGGAACAGATGAATGCAATGGATATTTCTGACGTTTACAGTGCTTTTTTTTATAAATAGAGAAGAATTTTAGAAGTGGAACGAAAAGTTTCTTTAACGTATATTGCGTGGAGCCACGAACAGGGACAAACATTGGTTTTTAATGCCATCCCATGATGACAAATGTATCAGGTTACTTTGAAGTTTTGAAATCAACATATAAATAAGTACAAAAGACGTTATACGATCCACAAGCTTCGGCGAATAACGGCAGAAGAACACAATAAGTGTAGCTAGTGAGGTAGGGAACAACGAGAAGTGAAAAAACCGAACCCAAATTCTCCAAGTAAATGGTAAATTCTATAATAGTTAGCCTGTCAGTTGCCTTGTTAGTTGCTTCACTGGTCACTCTATCGATTAGGTGGCCTATTAGGTGCCCTGTTGATATCTTTTTAGTTGTCTTATCGGCTGCACTATTAGTTGCTATATTAAATGTCATATTAGTTGCGTTGTTAGTTTTCTGAACAATTTTCCCACTAGTTGCCTTATCGCTGTTACTCTCGGTAATAGTTCCCGTATTTGATGCCCTATTAGGTTGCTTCTTACTACCTCCAACGGTTAGTCCTTGTAGTCCTTCGACTTGGTTTATCGCTGTGTGAGTTAGTCTCCTTAAGGTGCCGTATTGATTATTGTTTATGCATATTATTGGAATTACAAATGAGTTTGGTCCGGTTTCTAAGGAAGAAGCAGGAAGTAATACTACGAGGTGCTGAATCAAACTGCGACGTCATCATTTCATAGTAAGCGTAAGCTATACGTAACTGTATAGGTTATGACATAGAAGCATACACAACGTAGATTCCAGGAGATCTAAATTTTGTGTGTGAGTTTTGCGTCAAAAAAACGGTACTTGACAGATAGTTTACGTCTCCTGCGTAATTTGAAGGATACCCTTGCGAAAGCCAAAGCGCAAATAACCATGATATAGACACACTAACTTTAAACTTGGTGATGAATATCCAAGGCGGTTCCTTTTGGTTGCGTCGACAGAGCATGGTGTAATATGGTTACTTCCAATCAGATGAAACCATCACAAGGGAGTGCTATCAACAATAATTGATACAATTGCGACCAAAAATGGGCGCAAGATGCCAAAATTCAAATGTCGGACTTTTCAGTATGAATAAATTCGCCCCTATATAGCAATGCTCGCTTACAAAATGTTTATAGTTCTGTTGTAGCCCTCCTGCCTTTATAGGCACAGATATTGCTTCTTCCGATTAACACTGGTTTCAATCGACGAATTATTGTTTGCCCGAATGGTGTTTCCGTTATCATGACGACATCCAATGTAGGTTTTTTGATGATAATCTTAAACGACGAAATATTTTTCGATATGGAATTTGAAAATCACCCGAAAGTTTCAAAAAGTAGTAGCCGCCGATGGACAATATCTTGCTTAAGCTCATCCGCAGAAATGCATTTTTAGTCATCGGAAAGCTGACCGAACTAATTTATGCTCCCAATAGCTGCCTTAGGAGCTGCCCTATTGAACTTTTCGTTAAAAGCGAATGTCGTAGCAAGAAATAAGCTGAGTACAGACAATGGGGCAAATGAAATAAAATAACTTTTGGTAGTAAATATAAAAGTGTAAAGACCTACACAAAATTAACAGAAGCCTTCCATTAGTTAAAAGGAAAATGAAAGACAGAAATTAACAAATGGCGCGTTACTTAAAACAAATGCGTATGCAGCTGACACTTGCTGTCAGTCATTCTGTCTTATTTTTTGGCTAGTATGCCAAGCATATATATATATATGACAGTGCGTATTATAAACACCTTTTCTTACGGAGATAATAAAAAACGTCTTACAAAAAAATGTTAATTTAACAGTTTTTTTTTTTCAATATATTTTTTTTTTTTAGGTCTTAAGCAGATAGTGTTGCCTTTCTCTCCAACTTATAACATTCACCTAAATATTGTTGTCAAATACGCTCTAAGATAATATTCAACAAAAATATTCCAAATATTTCAAGAATGCTTGACTGATAGTAACCATAAATAACTGTTTATGTAGAGTTTTTCACAATTAGGTTTATAAATAAATTCATTCGGCTGAAATAGGTTCCTGACGCATTCAATCTTTCCACAACTTCAAGTAAGGATTAATTAGATATTGATGGTTTCAAGGGATCAAGACTTAAGGAAATGGATATTATTTATATATTACAGAAATCATTAAGTTAGCTCCGAAATGGTTAGAAATTAGAAATTTGTCTTTAAACAGTGAACTTAGCATTCGTCTGTCCGTCTCCTGCAAAAACAATCAAGAAAATAGAAAAAGCTTCAATTGATAAAATGCTTCGCTGTAGTGTTAATAAGAACAATGTGTTACTTATTGCCAGGATTAGTATTCATAATCAGTGTAAAACCAAATCCAGTTAAGAAATTTTTTGTGATTTTATTGAGGACTTAAATAAATTTCTACTCTTATTCTTTACTTCTCTTGCACTGCCTGCTGTTTATATTCTGTCGATAAACGCATAGAAAGTTTTCTCAATCGTATCGTAAGGCATAAAGAAAATTACGATAGAGCGGCGATCGAAAGACCCCAAAAATCCACTATATAATCCGCATGAATTGAATATTAATAGCATCCATATTAATGTGCCAGCGTATAATAAGCTACTCCAACCCAATTAAATCACATTAACCTTAATTGTTAAAATTGTTAAAACAGTTAAGAGATCTTCAAAGGAAACATAATCGCAAAATTCCAGAGGACATTGCGGGGGAACTTTTCAACATTACCTTCGCCGATCTCATATTTCAGGAATCATCCACACAACGCAAGAATGAATTTGAATATACACTGACTCTTTTTCGGACTAAGAAGTCTTATATACAAAATTTTCCTCAAACTACGTAATTGATTATGTGCAAGCAAGTTTAACAGAGATGATGAGTCATTTTAGGCGAAATCGGTTTAGTTACACTATTTAGGAACATGTATGCCGGGCAAAAATATTTCAAGAGTAATGTTTTCGTGATTGTCTTATGCTTGCTAAAAAACCTATACAACATTCCCAAATTGACTTTGAAGGGAAAGATAATCCAGCAAACAATTGTCCAAGAACAACAAAAAAATATGTAAATTAATTATTTGGGTCGTATCTTTCGGAAATTTGGTATAAGGATTCGTAAAGGAATTTCTAGAAATTTTAATGGTCTCTCCAATCCAATTTCCCATTTTTGGGCATTAAATATTTATGCTTGGCATCCAAAGCAGTGGACAGCCAAGGTTGGATTTAAATCCGAATACAACAACTAACATCTGTTATTTTAAAAAATCATTTAATAACTTTAACCGAAACCATTATTTAATCTGCTTAAGATTATTAAAATCTCATTGTTGTTGTTTTTTTTTCTAAAAATAATTTAAAAAAATTTTTTTTAAATTTAAAGATTTTGCTTATAATGAAAAATTCTTCTATCACTAGAAAAAATATTCACCAGCAAAAAAAAAAAAAAAACAGTTAGTTCAAGTGTGTAAAGGACTTAAAAGTAAAACTGGATTAAGTCATTTAACGCCCTCTTTTCATTATCGCACACACGCGCACAGAGAGAGGACAAACGATCATCCAAGCAACGATCAATGGCGCCAGTTCTAGTCTTAACTAATGGCATTATATGCAAGCATGATCCTACTTATCCAGCACCCCTAAGCCTATCCCAAAGATCGCATCTTAGCGGAAAACATAACAAAATAGAAAAATATGTTTACATACAAGACAAAGGGTTTTTAGTTACGCTTGATGATCGTTTCGAACAATAGCGCATTTAAAATTTTTCTTTATTACCGTAAACTGCTGTATAGTTCATGCTGTAGATGGGCATGATCGTTTACTAAATGTTATTTTAAAAGATTTTGTATTTTAAAGTAATGTTTCAGTGATTTTACACGAAATAAAAATACAAAATTCTTTTAAAGTCAAAAACGGTTTTAAAAATTTGTGTAAAACTTCATTTTTCTCATTTCGACCCAAGTAAATGCCTGGCAATGTATTCTTTAAGTGTGTAAATTAAACGAAAATTATATTGTATTGTATTTGGCTGAATCGAATTTTTATACCCTACACCACTTGTGGTACGGTGTATACTATGTTAGTGCGGACTTATGTAACTTGCCGAAGATCTTAAGATTATTTTTATTATACCAACCGATTAAGCATCTAAGTCTGTCCGTCTATCTGTCTGATGTCTGTCCATGTTCATTTTTGTTCAAGCTACAGATCTAAACCTGTCCGTCCTTTTGTCTGTCTAATGTCTG